CCAGTGAGGGACCTGGGAGTGACCACTGACCCTGGGAGTGACCACTGACCTGGGAGTGACCACTGACCTGGGAGTGACCAATGCGTGACCAATGAATGACTTGGGAGTGACCAGTGACCCTAGGAGTGACCATTGGCCCCTGGGAGTGACCACTGATCTGGGAGTGACCACTGACCTGGGAGAGACCAGTGAGTGACCAATGACCTTTGAGTGACCAGTGAGTGACCAATGAATGACCTGGGAGCGACCAATGACCTGAGTGACCAATGAATGACCTGGGAATGACCAATGAACTGAGAGCCCACTGACCTGGGAGTCACCAGTGACCTGGGAGTGACCAATGTATGACCAGTGACCAGTGAGTGACCAGTGAGTGACCAGTGACCTGAGCGACCAATGACCCATGAGAGACCGATGAGTGACCAATGACCTGGGAGAGACCAGTAACCTGTGACTGACCAATAACTAGGAGTGCCCAATGACTCTGGGAGTGACCTATAACCCCTGGGAGTGACCAAAGACCCCAGGAGTGACTTTGTAACCCCTGGGACTGACCAATAACCCCTGGGACTGACCAGTAACCCCAGGAGTGACCAATAAGCTCTGGTTCCCAAGAACTGCAGCTCATATCTTTAAAGTGTTCTTAGAAGACTGAAACATATAAATGTGTCCAAACCACAGAAACTTGGATCTAGACTTATTTCTCTGCTATTACAGAGTTCAAACATGTTCATCTCCATCTCCCTTGCACAATAATCTTCAAATAATGAATGACGCAAAGAACTTGAGCCAAGCAGTCTTATTTCCTTTGACAGTAAAAAAAGTAAGGGCCATTTAATATTAAAATGCACTAATTCAAAGATAATAGATATGCAGTGTAAAATAGATGTGCACTACAGGGCCCATGGGACAAGCTCAGCTCAGAAGGACTTTGTGGATCTTCCCTGGATGAGGCTGTGGGGTGCAGCTCCTGTGCCCCTACAAACATCTCTCCTGCAACAGTTGCTCAGTGACCAGACCAGGAGACATTCAGACTTTTAAAAAACCTGTAATAAAATTAGAAATGTGTTTCAGGCAAGGTGCTGATAATGGGACTCAGATCAGTAGGGGTGTAGAAAAGCTCCTAGATCATCTTCCAGCCTGAATATCTGCTCCTGTACCAGGAGTACTTTGCTGATGGAATGACGAGACTGTGCAAGGAAACCGGCATCCTGCACGGATACAGCTCAGAATGGTAAGCCAAGGTGTCAACATCTGTCATGTCCTGTGTATACATGGAAGCATGGCCACCCAAGGGATCATTTTTATAAGTGATAATAAAAAGAACTTTAATAAAAAGAACTCTGTGGGAGATTTTGGGTCCAGAATACTCTGGGTGTTCCTCTGGGTGTTCCTCTGGGACAACTGCAAGGTGTCTTCAGCTACAATACAATAAAAGCATGGGACAATGCCAGGGAGTCCCAGACTGTCCTGGGACAAGCCATGGGCAAGCCCGGTGTGAGCCTGTCCCTGTCCCATGAGAGCAGGTCAGCCTGCCCCAGGCAGGGTGTCTGGTGGCAGGACGAGCCCCAGGCTGCAGCTGTGTGGGCCACCTTGGAGACATCTCCAGTTTGTGCAGTGGTTTATCACTGAACAGGCTTTGGAGACTGAAGGACTGAGCCCTGTCCCAGACTGTGCCTCTGCCAGGGCAGGCACGGCCAGTGCTGATGGCTTGTGTGAAGGGAAGTCTGGCAGCGTGTTAGAAGGTCTCTGGGTTGTCTCTGCAGCTTGTTTGGAAGGCAAAAGTTTTCCATTGTTTGGGAGATTGTCTAAACATAGTAAAACCCCTAATAACTGGCAGTGTGCCATATGCTTTGTGTTGAGGGGGGCTGAGTCTCTGAAGATGGCAGAAATATACATTCCAAAGTCCCAGTCCTGCCTGGGACAGAGGTGCATCCCACAGTTTGTGCCACACTGACAAGAGGCCATTGTGCAGTGTCTGCTCCAGTGCCTGGACAGCAAGAGACAGCCATGAACAAGCTGCTTTGCACAACAAAGAAAATCCTGTGAAAACCATTTTAGAAGCCTGAAACAGGACTGAGAGTTGAGATATAATGATTTCAGTGTGTACAACAGATGGAGACTTTAGAGCATGGAGCCACTAATCTATGGATTACAGACTCCCTAATTATAGACTAACACTTACCATTTATGAGAGAGAGGCACTTCCACTGAGGGAGGGATCTTGCAGGTCAGTGCTCAACAATTGAATGCCATGTTAGGGATAACTAGGGAAGGAACACAGACTGGAAAATTTCACTGTACCAACTTCTTGCTCATTTGTATATTGGAATATCTTGCATTCAGTTCTGGTCTACTGCAGATTTTGAAACTGGGACATGTCCGGGGGCCTGGCATGTGCACTCAAAGGCAGGACCCCAGAGACACAGAGCAGGACCCCAGATATATGAATCAGGACCCCAGCTGCACAGAACAGGACCCCAGACACATGGAGCAGGACCCCAGCTGGAACAGGGCCCCAGCTGCACAGAGCAGGCTCCTCCACACCAGGCACTCCCTTGAGGACAGACCAGCTGTCAGTCAGTGACATTTCTCAACACAAAGAGGGGAGCCTCTATAAACCAGTCACAGATCTTCAGCACCTCCAAATGTGAACCTCAACATTGTCCATAATAGTAATCCCAGTATGGTCCCATCTTACTGAGTCCTGGCCTTGGAGCAGATGAAAACACATTATTCCTGCTCCTTTGTGCCTACTTCTGTCCCAGTCAGTTGTATAACAAACCATACACTGAGATTTACAGAGCCCACAAAACTGGACCCTGGTGTTACCTCTCGCACTGGCATCTGTTCTCTAACTGATACTTTGAGCCCTGGGACACAAAGAACTAAAGCAATCAGCAACCAAGCAGGTGATCCCATTGTCACTGGCATGGGCCAAAAAAGGGTCATCCATAAACTAAGGTCAACAACTGTTTTATTCCAGATCCCTAACCCTAAGAACAATCCTGTCAACCTGTCCCCATGTTGTTTGTTGTTTCCAGATTTAGCTACATGATAATGGCTGGGAGAGAAAACAGCTTTGGCATTGATGAACCTGGGGCGCCTGCCTAGAGCCAACAGTGCTTTGAGTCCACACCCCTAACCAAGACCCCGTCACCAACCCTGCTTCCTGTCGTACCTAAATTAATGATACCTCTTTTATTTACTTCTGGTCTTACCCTATACCAACCTACCTTGTAAAATGCAGACATTAACCTAATGCTGAAGTTGCCCAAATTCCTCAACTACCTCAGACACAGGAAAAACACCCATATTTGAGCCACAAGAGTCTAGCAGGAGCAGGAAATTCAACCTCCAGTCATGACTTTGAAGGCCTTTTCCAACCTAAATGATTGTGTGACTGTGACTTGAGGACACCTCTTACCTACAGAAGTGTAAGGCAATGGCAGAGATTAGTAACGAAAACCTGGGATCTGGCCAGACGCAGTCATCGAATATGTTTTCAGTGCCTCCAGCCCAAACTGCTGACTTCAGCAATGGTGATGGACCTCCCATGTGAGCTCTGGGCTGCTGGGAGGGCAGTTGCCCTTGTGCCACCACTGCAGCACCCGCAGCAAATCTGCGCCCCAGGTCCCCGCACAGGCATCGAGGTCGTTCCCTGCCCTGTGTGCAAACACGGGCTGGCAGGGCAGGACCCACCAGCTCCCACGGCTGTGGGTGCCACGTGTGGCACAACCAGGGAAGTAAACCCACCTAGTAAAGCTCTGTCCCTGAGTGAGATACACCGTGTGGTGAGCTGGGGCACAGGTGGCAGGGCCTGCTCTCCACCATGACTGCCTGCCCTGGGAATCTCTGTGGAGGGACACTGGGATGAGCCAGCAGCAGAGGAGTGAGTTCACAACCAGGGTAGACACCAGTTTCCTTCCCAGACAGCCAAACACCATGACCTAACTGCTGTAGAATGCCTGCAAGGGCAGATGTGCAGCCTGGTACCCACCCACAGCAGACATCTGTGCAGTGAAAGTTGCCTCCCATGGAGGACATATGATCCTTTGCATGAACTAACATTGCTCTGAAATGCTTCAACTACACCCCAACCCGAGTTTGGCTGCCTGTCCATGCTCACAGACAGCAGGAGATCTCTGTGTGCTTTCTGCTGTGGCTCCATTCACGCTCTAATGAAGTTACACCCACGGGTCAGTGTCTCCATGGCCCAGCCCCACATCTGCTGAGGAGC